ATAGTCTGAACCAGACTAAGGGTCTGTCCATCCCACTGCCTTGTTTCCAGCGGTGATGAGTGGACTGTAATTATGGAAGATATACAAGTGGTATGTATATGGAATAGACAGAAGTGCTGTGGTTATTCAAGTTGGTCACACTGCATGTGGAAAATCACCCTGGACTATAGTTGCCATAGGCCAGAGCAGTCTTACGCTAAAACCTGCAATTTGTATGATTGGATTCACAATAACATACTTTAGCATATGGGCTTGCACAGTGCATCTGGTCAAACACCAGACAAGTCTGGGGTTAAGTCTATGTATTCCCGCTGTTTGCAAATGATCTAGTTGTATGAGTTTTCATCTTCAGTTACAGTAAGTACAAGATTGTTCAAATACAATCAATAACTTACTTATTTTTAGTAAGCTGCTTCTTTACATAATAGTTTTGATTTGCCTTGATTGTTTACATATTACTTCAGCATAAACCCCATTATTTTAGTTTTTGCAGGTGTTTTGAAGACTCTGACTATAGAATCAATTTTGTATTGTTCATTGAAGTAGCATCATGTCACAAAAATTTGCATTTTGCACAGAAGTGTTTTAGTAAAATTGCACAGTCAGGCTGTGGAGCTTATGGTCATAGGAAATAACTAGAGTTACCACACCTAGGATGTCTTTTGGCAAATACAAAATTATTCCAAAAATGATTCATAGCCAACATTCTACTAAAATGGGATTAGTGGTGCCACTTTATGGAGATCCTACTGTGAGGATAAATGCCTTATCCATTGCATTTTAGTAGGGTTCACCTCTGAAGTTATCAGTCATGTAACTGCATTTGACCACAAATGTTATTTTATGCTTTTCATATATTCTCTTCCACCAAGATTAACTTGAACAGGTGCAGCAGAAATGAGTTACAGTTTTCCAAGATATATATAAGAGATGCTCACTTCTTTTCTTGAAAGTTGAATAAAGTTCCATAAAGTTAAAAAATAGAAGTACCAAACCCAACAAGCTACCACTGAGGACACTAGATTGCTCAAGGACCATTTAGAGCTCAAATCAGTTTTTCATACTGATTCCTACTTCAGGATAGCAAATATTAGTTAACCATTTTAAAGGAATAAAACCCTAATCTGGTCATGATGGTAGAGGTGATATCTCTATAATGGGCAGCATAGGCCTGTACTTCCAGTTGTGGTTAGGTTGCTTTTTAACAGTAGGTCTCAGTGAACAAATGCTTTAGTCCACGTGAAACAGAAATGAGCATTTGATTTTTTTACATGAATGCTATTAGTTGGGGAAGTTCAGGAATTTTTTTTTTTTTTTTTTTTTTAGTATTCTTAGTAGTAGCTAGCTGGAGCAAGACTTCTTCTGTGGGAAGACAGTCGACAAGGAAGTGACTTTTTGAAAGTTTCATGTGATAGATTATTGAAATCTAGTTGCTATAAGCTATTTTAGTATTGTGAATATGTTTCTGTAAGGAAACATTTCTGTAAAGAGAGCTGCTTGGAGCAAGTGCTTTTAATTCTTCGTAGGAATTTGCTGCTAATTTCAGATCTCTGATTTTTAAATTAAGAAAAGCAAATATTTTCAAACCATGAGTCAGGTGACATACCCAGGGATCTTTGAATATTGGAGAGGAAAAATGTTAAAACTCCTCAAGAAAGATTAGTTAGCAGTCTGACCGGTACAGGGAGGAGGAGGAGGAGAGAAGGAGAACCTGTAAAAGTTGTGAAAATTAGCACAGTAGTCTTCTTAAGGCTCACTGTAAATTACAGCTCACTAACGTTTTGCTGCATGAAGGAAATAATTTATGTAGAAGTGGGGCAATGGAGTTCTAGTTTCTGGAAGTCAGCTAAGAGGTAATGGAGATTCAGACCTACTGCTCTTGGTGACAAGGTGGTCAAAAAAAAAAAAAAAAAAACAATAGGGTTCGAGTCAGTCGTGTTGGTTTGGGGGTTTTTAATCAATTGAAAGGATAATTTCTCCTTTCTTCCCATAAAGTAAACATCTTGCGTTGCTATACAGTGAACAGTGACTTTTCCATTTTAGTGGACATTACGTGTCAATTTACAACATTTGGCATTTTGCATTACACTGCTGTCATTATGTATAAGAATTACATTTTTAAAAGCATGAGTTAAAACAACAATCCCGTTGTATTGAAACCTGCTGTGGTAAAAGGGTGGCTTATCCCATTGGCCTTTAGAAATACATACTCGGGTTAAGCTGAAACAGGTACATTAATTTTCACTGTCAGCCATTAATCCTTGAGGTTATCTTTAGCACCCTGTTTTGGTGCATTGCATTAGTGAGGAACCACCAGCTCTGTGACTTTGGCTAAATCTAGATGTAGACTTGCTTAACTATCTCAGTGGGTAGATATTAAATACAAAGAACAATTTTACTCTCTGTTTTAGAGATGCATTACCATTAGTTCTCTGGCTCTCAGGGTGTATCACTTTGCTGTCTCATCTGCTGTAGTTAGCACACTCCTGCTGTTTGCCTTCTCTTTTTGCTTTTACTCACAGTGTTAAAATACAGTTCTTGCTAAAGAAGGTCATATTTGTTGTTTGGGAAACAATATATCTGATGTTCAGTAATGTGCCAATTCAGAACAATACATAAACACATCTTTAATTTGAATTCCATATTAAGTGAGTCCTTGAAGCCCTTGAATCATGGGCATAGTGCAGTTCAGAAAACAGACACAAGTTTAATATGGTGTTTCTTGTTGTATGTTCTCATGTTTCAGCAGAAATGTATCTGACAACTGCTGCTTTTCTATGACAAATCTAAGAGTGAGGGTTTTCTTAACTCTGGAGAGAAGGAATTTAAGACCCAGTCATGACAACTCTGACATAACTGAGTAAAGTTCTTCATGTCTAAACATCTGCAGGATTGTAGCCTACTGTAATAATGGAATAGTCTGAAAACCATGTCTATAAAATCTCAATATGGCACTGTATCAACACATATTCCTTATACAGCTGTAAGGCAGGCAAGTTTGAAGAGTTTCTTTATCTGTAGCATTTCTATCCTATGTTGTGTCTGGACTTTTTTCTGCCTGTGGGTTCCGATTAGCCACATGTCTGACTGAGGCTAAAGATTATTTTTGTGTACATTTTTGTACCGTACCTATATTCTATTTTAAGGAAAAATATACACATGCATTTTTCTTCTTTATAATAAACTGAGTGACAATTAAAAATAAATTCTTTCAGCTATTCAGAATGGTACACAGATGTACTGGCACATTTCAGAGTAAGTTAAATAGAGAGTGAAGTATTATGTCACCAAAGGGGCAGAAGTGGAGCAGATCTCTGACCACTAAAGCAAAATAAAGCAGTGCTAAGGTGGTGGCTTTGAGAAAAATAAGCCAGGCTATCCTAGGACTTAGGTGAATTATGGGAGCAGCAACAAACAAGAGAGAAGCGTTACCAAATGAAAATGGTGGGAAAAGTATAAAGGTATATTGTGGAGTGAAAGAGCAATACTGAAACCAGTGGGAAAAAGTAGAAAAAGGGTTTGGGACATAAAGCAAAAAAGGGTGGAGGACAGAAAAAACAAAACCTAAAAGCAATAACATTAACATAATTGATATCTTCACAGAAAGAGAGGATTGGAAGGAGGAGTGAGTAGGCATTGGTGTGAAGATCTGTCTGATATCCAAGTATGGGAATACCAGTCTGAAGTCTTTAGCTCTCCTTGTAGATTGTGTTTGGAACTCTGATGGCTTACTGTATTTCATTCCAACGCCAGGTATCTCACAGTGGATAAACCAAACCTAATTTTTAGGAGCTTACATCTTTATAGGACTTTGATCTTAGGCTTGGCAGTGAAGAGGATAGTCACTTTTACTTAGATTTAATTTAGTTGCATGTATAGGCAATTGTCATTCCTAAGATGCTGCTATGGAGAGAGAAAAAGAGAGAGTCCCCTACGGGGTTGATTCAGGGTACCTATGTTAGGTAAGTACTACACCTTTCTCTCTCAAGGACCCTGTGTCTATTGACACTATATATGATTCTATCATCTTAATTTAGACAGTTAAAATGAGCTGTATCCTCTCTCAGTCTCTCTATCTTCCTATTCTATAAATTAAGGCAATAATTTTTCTACTGTGAGGTTGTGAGGCTAGCGTTCAACAGGAGTTGTGAAGCAATTGCGTGTTACAGTGGTCACAGAGTGAGAGATGCTAAAATGGGAAGTGTCTTTTGTTGGAGGAAAACAGTATTCCAAGGAGATTTGATGGGCTGTTGCATATATATGAATTTTACAGATGTTGTGGTGAAAAGTCACCTTTCATCCAAAACCAGCAGCAGAATTAGCTGAAGAATACTAGGAGCAATAAGAAGTGAATAGATTTAGCATGCAGTCTGGTGAATAGGCAGAGAACAATCATAGCCTCACTTCTTTGGCATGACCCAGAATAATTTATCTAGAAGTGCTGTTTCACATTCCCCCTAGTTCTATCACTATCACAATACAAAAAACCCCAAAAGTTGTTATTTCGCCATATGGTATATATTTTTATATGTAATTAGTGGTGTCTGTATTTGACTATGATTATAACGCATATGCAAAGATATTGCTGACACTAACGCATTACCAAAAAAATATAGTATCACTGGATACTAAGACTAAACTGCTGAATACTGCACTTTATGAATCATTTATACCTGAGTTACTTATGTCCACACCTGGTTGATTAGTCTGAGCACAGTTAATCTTTCTAGTACCAATTGGTATAGTAATTTTAAAGTACTGAAAACAAGGTTTAAATATTTTTTGTCTGGTAGCTTCTCTTTAAAATTGCTTGGCCCCACTTAACCTTGATTAAGGCTTTCAAAATAAGTTTGAAGTGGGACACTTATACTGAAGCATATTCCTCACCTGCAGAAAAGGCTGGAAGGCCTGCATTTAGTATCTGTATGTCTGTTTCACACTTTTTTCCCCTCATAATGATGACATACACATTTTTTTTTCTTCTTTCTTTTTTGAAACAGAAAGAATGACTTACTGGGGAACGAAGTTAGAAGACGAAAGAAGTGAAGATTGGTCATCTATGCAGAGGAAATGGCAAGGTACGCATAGCAATCACATTGGAGATTCATTCCTTGCTGGTGCTTAGGTCTTCATGGTAGATTACTTCTGGCAATAAAGTTTAAAAATAGTCTTTAGAAACCTTAAAAAAGATGTTTTGAAAATAACTTTTTCCTTCTGCTTGATTGCTAGAGTTATAAATATCTTTAAGATACACCTTTAAACTTGTTACTATGCTGAATTGTAGTTGTATTTCTTCTACAGGTAAATGGCAGTCACATTCATAAACTGTTTTTTTGGCAGAGGCCAGTAAAAACAACCATTCTTACAACACCAAGCTGAAATCCCTCCAGACACTATCAAAGGTCATTCTTGAGACTTTAAAATAAGAGTTCGATGGATTCATTCAAATCACTGTATACTTAGTGCAGGAGTTAAACCATTTTTCTTTCTCATTTATAACCAGTACAAGAAGATGTGCTAGTACCTGTTTTGCACTGCATTTAAAAAATATGTTCTTTTACATCTGTCATCCTGTAGATTTGTAACTTGGGGAATGCAAACTCAGCACTACCAACAAGTCACATCTCTCAAATATTTTTAGTAACATGGATGTATAATGTTTATACAGCGACTCCTAGGAGACTGGCACAAGGCTATATGCCGCTTAAATTCTGAGGTTAAATGTTACTTCAGTGATGCATAGAATTTGTATTGACCATCTGCCCAACATTGAACCCATTAATGAATAAGCCTCACAGTATCACTGTGAGATAGGGAATTACGACCTCCGTTTAACAAGTGATAAAACTGAGCCCCAAAGGGCTCGTGTAATCATTTCAAGTCCTATAGGAAGTATATAATAGATCCAGCAACGAAAGCCAGCTCACCTGACCTGCCATCTTTCCTATTTGAACATCCCTTCGTTTGGTATCCTTTTCACTACGTTCTGTCATGTGTGGAATGTGTACATCAACAGCTATACATTATTTATGCATAGTTTTAGCCAACAAATTCTCTTGCAAAGTAACTTAAGAGACATTGTTAATATGAACCGTGAATCATGCTTGTCCATAAAGAACAACATGAGACGCAATGCAAAAAGGCCAGCATAAACAGCACCAGATGGCCTTCATAAATTGAGCAAGTTAGCACAAAATGCCAAAAAGGAGATCTGTTATTGTGACCTCTCTTTCTATTTTTTTGCATAATGTTGAGAGGAAGACTATACAGATCTTTCTGTAGTACAGAGAGGAACTGCTGGTATAGGACGATTAATGCTTTTCCTTTTGTAATCTTGCTGAACGTCTCTTTGATTTCCTTTAGTAAATGTCAGGTCACATGTTGGCTGCTTGCATTCTAAAACTGAAGTATAAATCATCTTCTCAAGTGTCAGAAACTGTCATTTTTACTTGCAAAATATTTTTCTAACTATATCTTATGTAACTGTTACAGTTGTTGACATTTTCCTTAAAAGCCTTGGTCGTTTGACACTCAAGATTCAGTATAAATCTATAGACTAGAATAGAGAATTCTTTTGCCTTTGCTTGTATCTGTTTCCTTTACCATGAGTTAAAGAAAGGAATATTATGCATTTCTGAGTCATGCTGTAGAAAGGTATTTTATTTTTAATATCATTAGAATTTTAAAAGAAGGATAAACCTTAGCATAGGTGAAACCAAGAGTTAATATACTTCAATTATAGAAAGTGGCTATTAAATTTTGATGGGATGCTATCACTGATACTTCAAATAAAATGTTGATGTGGTGATGTGGGGAGTGTGGATAATGAGTTCAATACTAAAGAAAGTCTGATGATTTTTATGGAAAATGTATATGAAAAATACATGATCCTCAACCAAAGACATTCATGTGGATATAACCATAGGAAAAAATCAGAGTATAGACTTCTTATGTCTGCCTTGGCTTGTGTCTACAGGAGTGCAACCCTATATAGCTGTGTCTTGGCACAGATGAAAACTGAAACGACTTGTCCGCCCCTTATGTTTTATTGTGCCTGATGCCTGCCCATCTTAATGGTGATACTCTAGCATTAACAGTCTGATTTCCATCTACTCTTACCTGTCTGCAGAAAACTATCAATACATCTTGAGGATGGGTCTTCTAAATCAAACTAATCAAATGTAACAATTTCTTACAAAAAAAAATGGCTGCAGAATGTGGAGTCAATTGATGTGAAATTCCTGCTTGCAAGGCCTTTGGCTTGCTGCTTCTGCTCAACCCAGCTGGGGGATGAAAGAGAGAACTTTTGCAGGTATTTCAGGTCATTACCTGTGCAATCTCACCCTAATGAGAAGTGAATTAAATTGTTTCCAAATTGTTCTGGAAGTGTAAGTTCAAGAAACATTGTGTTCCTTCTAAGGGAATGCTACAAGGGTGATCTGGAATGACAGGAGTTTGGTTTTGGGAGTGGGTCCTTTAATCCTAACACATCCAAGTTCAAATGTTTTAGTTAAATTTTAAGCAAGTTAGAAACTTTCGTAGTAGATGCAGGGTATTTTAAGGCACCTTTAGGAATATGAAGATACAGTAAGATGTCCATATTGACATAGTCTTAATCTCTCAAAACCAGGATCTGAATTGTTTGGTTAAGTATCCTATTGCTGTCAAAGAACATTGTTGAATTTAGAAAGGGAAGTCAGATCTTGATCTAAATATCTCTGCTTTATAATGAGGTACTGTATAATAATAACCTGCACAGCAAACATTTGAACTCAAGCACATGTTAGAAGGGGCACTTGTCTCAGTTAAAGGAGTGAAAAGTGCCCTTCTCATTCCCATGAATGGCCTGAAGGCCAGACTCCCTGCAGAGTTTAGAGCAACCTACCCTGGCATCTGTGGCATCTCATGATCATGAGTTTGGGGTTTGTAGAATCACAATTCCCTTTTTGCCAAAGCCAGAAGTAGAAGATGGGTCCTCAGGAAATAGATTCCCTTTATCAGTCTATGTACTTATATGATCGTATCACTGACAGTTCTCAAAGCTGGTTCATGGACATTGCAGATTTGTTCTCCTCAGCTCATAGAGGTAGGAAAATAATATTTTACAGGTGTGGAAGTGAAGCACAGATGTGAATGCTTTAAGACTTACAGCCTCAACAGTCGAGGCTGGATATTTAAAAGCATTCAGCATAGGTCAGCTCATCTTGTAACTTTTTCAGGGAGACCAGCAGTTGAGTTGAAAGTCTGACTAGTTATTTTAGCATCTAAAGAAGCCAGGAGAAACTAACTTATTTTTTCTGAAAACCTGGCCCAAGAATTTGCCCAAGATCATGAAGAAAAAATGTGGTACAGTTGTGAAATGAATCCAGCTCACTCAAATTTCTGCATACCCAAAGGACCTTCTTCCCTCTCCCCTTACTCTCTTCTCTGTTCCAAAGGCTTCTTTTGCTGAGTTTTGGGAAGGCAATGCAGCTCTTCTGTGAACTGTTCTCATTAAATCTTTCTTTCTCTTGATGCAATAGAGGGGGACTCCCGACAGTACTCTCAGAAAGTCCCATAGGGCATATTGGACAATACTGGGTCCTGAACCCTAAAGTCTCCAAAGGCTTACTGGATGATCTCCTTTTAAGACCTCTGTTGGTACCAGTTATCTCAAATTACAAACCACTGGCAGGTCTCAGAAATCTGCAAGAGTAGGTCTCCCCAGTTGTTATATATCCCAGGAAATCTGCAAAGAAAAGGGGGATGATTAAAGTTTATGACCTGAGCACGAAGAAGTCAGAGGGAACACTTCCCAGTGTTCCTTTTATGAGGGTTTTTTAAAGGAAAAATGTTTTTCACTGACAGGCCTTTCTAATGGATTAATACACTGTGAGTTCTGTATTTGCAAGGAGGCCTAGAGGAACACGTTTTTATTTTCTGCTGGACGACTGCAGTCTTTAGCACTCTCAGTATTAAGATCATTGGAGCCAGGGTTCCCTGCTGATGTTACTAAAATGAACTTTAATCAATCTTGAAAAAATACTTTAATAACCTGAATTATGGCCCCCAGTGCTAGATCTTTGATATGAGAGTTAGCCTAGCAGTATTGATTTTCTCATGCTCAGCGTTTCTTCTGATATTTTTTCCACTTGTTAGCAATGTATATTTTAATAAAAACCTTGGTTTATGAAGTGCCTTTTACCAGCAATCTTTCTATGTTTAAATTGAATGGTTTTACATCATTCACGTATATTTTTCCTCATTTTTTGAGGAAGATTCTGGATTCAAAGACTAATTAAAAATGGAAGCTTCCTTCTCTCTCTAATTGTGACAAAGCTCTTGTCAGTCCCACCAGATAGGGAAGATGAGCCAGAAAGTAGCATGGATAGTCAACCAAATTTATTCTTTCATTTTAACTTTTTCATGTGAGGAAGCAAATGCTTTTTTTGACTCATTGTGGCATTTTAAGTTCTGGCCCATACATTTAGAAGAACGTAGAGTTGGTTTTAATAAAACAGCCTGGAGAGATTTAGAGCCTTCCTGAGAGAACTCAAAATATCTGAAAGGGGCTGCCCTCGTTTTTGGCCAGGAAATCTGGTGGGTAGTGCACAGGAGCAGTTTACTGTTCATATGTGAAGAAAGAAGAGGTGGGGGGTGTGGGGGGGGAAGCTGAAACTGATAATGTTGCTAATATTTCTCAGTGTTTGTGTTCTAACAATGTAAATTACAGCAAAATCCACAGGTGGCATCTTGTATGTGGCCTGCAGCCTTCTGACCTTCTTCTGAAAGGTGACCTTGTGGCCTGATAGGTTGGTTCTCCATGAGTAAGTTGTTACTGAGCAGACCACTAATGCTTCTCCACAGCACTGTTGCTGTACCTTTATAAGGACTGCTAAATGATGTGGCATGTACCACAGAGACCACTGTCCAGTGGAAAGTGCTGTCAAAGAGTGAGAGGGGGTTAACCACAAAATATTTACCATTTTAGTGTGCACTGAAAAAAAATCCATAGCTGAAAACAGGATTTTCGTTTAGTGCTCTTTGTACATTGTGGTTTTACACTGTCTGCAGAAAAGGTTCTGTACAGTGTTGATTC